TAGATTTAAAAAAATTATCATGGGGCACAGGGATTCGCTCTCTTAGCTCATTCTCTCTTGTTGTTATTTTATAGTAAATTTACTGGATTTACCGTTTGCTTCACCCACAAACCGTCCCGCTGATTGCCTTTTTTTTAATTGGATGTCGTTAAGCAAATGGTTAAATAATAACTGATGAAGAAGACTTGGTAAGCGTTTGTTGTTTAACGACATCCAATCAAAGAGAGGCAATCAACGGGACGGTTTCTGGCTGGCACGTAGGAATCTTGCTACGCATTCCAGTCGCTCGAATACTGTGGGATTTTGATTTTCTTCGAGGGCTAGCTCCGGGCCGTTTGGATGGATTTTCAATTGGAAGGTACGAGAAGAATCGTGAATCTTTTGACCTTTATGCTGCGAAGTTTGAAAGCGGAGCGATGCGATTTTGGGGGGAAAAATCGCTCCGGCGCTGGAACCCTTTCAAAACAAGGATTCCTCCCTTGTCCTTCTATTAGGGAACTTAAGATAGAGACGTTTTCGGGGCGACGGCAACTTCAACCGGACGTGACATCATCATTTGTTGGATATTGCGCATGCTCGTGCTCACCACCTTGCCGTCGTGGTCCCGTCGGCGACGTGAAACTGGTCTGTTTGGCGTTGTGGCGAAAACGTGAGTATTTAACTTTCATTTCAATCAGGTTTGTTGCGTTTAGCAACCAACATTTTGCAGATTATCGTTCTTAAATTGTCCTTGTTTTCTTTGAGGCACATTTCAAGCTCGATTTCCAAGCTCTGTTATCTAAACTTTAATACATCTTTGAATGTTTCTATGTTTTCATGTCACAGGGTCAAGATCCAACTTGGCAAACAGCCAACCGTAAGTAAGCTTGACGTGGGACAAAATTTTCCCACGAGCCAAATAAAAGTATCCAGACAAAAAATATGAACTCCGATATTTCAATTGTGTGTTTTTAGTTCGCTCTTTTCGTTAGAATATCGTATAAATGAAACGCATTGAAAATTATATAGAATAGTAGGTGATACCATGTACTAACTCGGCGTGGGAATACTGAAATAAAGTTGTTGCCGTTGTTGTTGTTGTTGCATGCAAGTATTTCCCGGGAATTATTTCAATACCAAACTAAGAATACGGTTCCTTGGTAGCATTTTAATGTTCCTGTAATTTGCAAGGCCTCGGCAAGCCTGTGGAGATCATTTTTTTCAACACGAAATTCTGCCTTGAACTCAGCTGAATCCCGCATGTTTTTTAGCGTGAACGGATCGTAACTGTCCCGAGGAAAATCGGGATTTTCGGACTCATAATTTTCCCACAAAACGAGAAACTCTTCATCCGATACATGTTGTCTGCATAGCAAATATTTATTCTCTTAATTCTTTATGTGAAGCCATATTTTCCTCTTCGGTATTCTTCTAATTAAAGGCGCCGTCCTTCTGAGTTCACTGCGATCTTAATGTTCTATTTTTGACGGGGAGCGACGGCTGCCTTAGTTCCAGGCTTTCTCTCCCAGTCCGGTCGCCGTCGCCCCGAAAACGTCTCCATCTTAAGTTCCCTATTATATGGAAGAGTCAACGGCGAACTCAAATTCATTCAAAATCGCTCAAAAAACCGCTTTTGAGGCAAAAGGACGACTATACACCACAGGTAAGGTAATTCAACGTTTATTTATCATTGATTTATATACATAGTTAGCGATATATCGCTATAGGTGAAGCAAACGGTAAATCCAGTAAATTTATAGCCTCCCACGCAAACGTTCTTAGGGGTTCGTCACGCAATCTTTCCTCCCCCACGGGAGGCTGGTAAATTTACTTTAAAATAACAATCGGCTACACAAACAGATTGTGTGGGCCCCCTGTGGGCAAGGTGGCTTTGGACAAATGATGTATCGGTCCCCAGAAAGGTCACCTCAGGACACCCGGGATGGAAATTTTTGTACAGTGTCCAGGCCTCATTTTCTTGGCCGCGCGTTGATCTGGCCCGGCTGCTTCGGCGAGCATATGCTCGGTCTGTTTGGATTATATCATTTGAGTTTGTCAAAGTCTGTGGGATTCGTTTCTCTATCTGGGAAAGCTTCATTGGTTTCTATATCTGCTGCTATCCTATTTCTACGATCCTGGCATGTTTATTTTCCTTTGGAGTTCGAATTTCGTGGAAAAGTTGTGTTGAATGAGAGCATGTCGGCGAAATTGGCGTCTCGTGCTTCCTACCTTGTGTATTATTATTGTATATAGAGTGAATTTGAACAAATTACTGCAAATTATCACAAAACTTCGTTCGAGCAATAAGGACAACAACAACTAACTGCAGAGTAAGTTTCATTGATCTTTATTTAGTATTTCCTAGAAATTTTAGGATGGTATTTTTACCCCATACAAACACTGTAATTTTACTGGAACGGTACTGTTGTACTATAACAGAGCCTGGGTTACCTGTGGATCTATAAAAGCAAATTCTCTGTCGGCGATGAACACACTGAAAGGAATAAGAAAACAAAAGACTGAAAAAATCGTACCTCCCTTTTACTTTGCTGCGAAGTTAAACATGACACTTACTCAGAAAATTTACTGCTTCGGCTTCAAGTAAAAATTACACTGTTCTTCAATCGCCCAGATTAAAGATGCCGTAATTGCTTAACTTTCCGAATAGAGTTAGCCGAAACTAATCGATCTATAAAAAGCAAATTTCCAGTTAGTGATGACTCGGGTCAGTAAACTCAAGATTAAAAGAAATAAAACGTCTTTTTTACTGGCCCGCGTGGTTTAAACACGGCTCAATGCCCCCATATTTAGAATTAAATGCGTTCTGTGAAGACCGCACGCGCTTGTTGCTAACTTCTTGTACATGCAAGTGCGGTATAATGCGCAACTGTTCGTTTTTATTTGAAGTTAAAAAGATCACGCCTGTTTTATTCAAAGCGCGTTGTCGCGCAAAGAGAAAGCCGGTCGTTTAAGAACTTATTTTCGGCAGCTTGGATAACTATGACTAAAATCTTCGCAGTAACGGCATAAAAGTATCGGGAGAAGTCTAAGTACGCGGCGGGTTAATGCAAAAAGTAAATTAAAGCAACGATAGAACTAAAAGATCAAGTTTTCAGTTCACTGCCTCAAAGACTAACAATTTGTGAACGTCTTTACTGCAAATGAAAATGTTTCTTCTAGACGAATAGCTCTGAAAAGCCCTTCGGACTATTCCCGTCGGTACCGTAGTGAAATTTCATTCTTCACGTAGCCATTAGCACTCCCCATGCCCTCGTGGTACACAAGTTTGTCATGCCGAAGGTTTGCCAAACAAGCTTTGGGTCGGTCTGGGAAGGTGTCACGTGAAACAAAAGAACTATTGTTTTAAGTTTGATGGACAAATTCAAGTCGGTAGAATAGACCGTTTCTTGATACGTTTATCAAATACCACGATGAATATCTTTCATGACATGATGGCATTGTTGATCAATTCAATTTGTACAATATCTAAGGGTGCGTTCCTTTGAGATGATCCGGATCAAGATCAGTGATCCAAGATCACTCGGGCTATGGTAGATCAAATGAACCGATGAATCCTTGTCCAGAGTGGATTCATCGGTCACCGGCATTTGATCTACCATGATCCGAGTGATCTCGGATCACCTCAAAGGAACGCACTCGAAATGATTTCTCGCGCGCTAATTGGTCAAAAGCTGTGGTCGACAAGAGTACCATGGAAATGACGTGATGGTGTTGTACTTCGTTGTACTGAGACCACTCGCCTGAGGCTCGGGGTTCTACTTGAGTTTTGAAAATTTTCAAGTCATTTCTATGGTGGATAAGAGTCAAGACCACGGAAAAGTATTGTCGATTTTTGTTTAATACCGAAACTAAAATCAGTGAGAAAATGGGGAAGGAGCCCTTTGATTTCGCTTTCAAATTGGACCAAAAATAAAGGAACTAGCAAATATTGGCAAGTTTCACAAACACAGCAGAGTAAAGCAGGTGTTTACCATGCTGCATTGTAAAATATATCACCCCATATAAGGGAATTTGAGACGATTGGAATCTGGATTCCTTGCCATGGATTCCGGGTTCTATTTTGGTTGTGGAACATGGACTCCGAATTCAGTATTCCTTGAGCTGTATTCCGGATTTCAAAGCCCAGGATTCCGGATTTCGGATTCCGGCTTGTCTCCGTGAAGCGAAATTATCAAAATATGGCGACTCAGACCCAGGTTACAGCAAAGGCTTTTTTCAGTTTATTATGAACGCAACTCATTAGGGGGCTAAGGCAACGACAACGTTGACGACAACGACAACGTAAAAAAACAATTGTTTTTATGCGCAAAGCAACCGCTCTGCACGTGCATCACGCCTTTTTTTAAAAAACTGAATCACTGGATAATGCAAAGATCTAGAGCTCTGATTGGCTTAGCCATTATGGTATATGAGCCATGATACCATGCTCTCCAAATATGGTAACTGTACTGTAGACTGAACTACCTACTACTTGTGGAGGCGTGTGTGGCCGAGCGGTTAACACCTCGAACTTCCGATTTGGAGGTCTTGGGTTCAAGCCTCGCCCGTCGCGTTTATTCTTAAATTGCTGGGGGTAACTCTGCGATGGACTAGCATCCCGTCCAGGAGGGAGTAGCAATATTCCCAAGCATGCTTCATGCTAAGGAAACTGGAATAACCTCCAGCCGCGGGGCCTTTGGCTAGGGTGCGCTTTTCCTTTTTTACCTTTCTTACTACCTGCCTCCTCTAAAGAGACAGATTTTCACCGAAGTGAGTTTATACTTGTTGAAAAATATCCCAAGATCGACTCATTAGGGGTTCTTTCTGTTGCACCAGGTAATAGAGCAATTTGTGTGATTACTGGAGACAGGAACCACGCAGAAGAACAAGGCGCCGACGTGGTTTTATCACACTGGGCACGAAGGCAAGTTTCCCCTCAGTTTAGCGAGGAGTTCTTGGATGGAAGGAAAAGCTTTATATTTTCGTGGGACAAGCAACACAGAGCAATTCACGAAGAAGCTATGCTGCATTACTTTGATCCTGGTAAAAAGAACAAGAAATTTGTTCCAGACGAACATTCAAAACAGGACAAACAGGTTTGACCGACTTGCGTTGGCAGATATTATTCAAAATTAGTAGTACAGATGGCGTGGATCGTTTGCTCGGTACTGACTTATTTGCCGTATCTTTAACTTTTACTTAGCGAGTCGAAACTCAAGAAAGAACTGAAGCTGACGTAAAACACAGCAGGACAAAGGGAAACTCCCAGGACAAGATTCAGAAGCTTCCTCAAACAGAAGAAGGAGCACGTCAGGATATGGAAATTTTATCACATCCTACCTGGATGGAAGAAAAAGACGAAAACATGGCGGATGAAGAAGAAACCTATTCTCTTATTACCCCAACGGATTTACCAGGTAAAACTGACTTAATGTGTGAATGTGCCAAATGGCAAATAAGACTAACGTAAAAATAATAACAATAATTTTAATATTAATAATAATATTGATGATGTTGATGACCATGACGATGATGTTGATGATGATGGTATATTAACAGTGATTTTCAATACAACTTGGATCTACATTTAATGTTAAGAGGAACAATAGGAATATATGATATATATATATCTATTATATGTGTGGTTGAGACTATATTGTACACACAAGGAATGTTCATGGTAAATTAAAAAAGATACTTTATTTTAAAAATGAAAAAGGAAATTCTACTGCGCTCTTTCAAAAATAGTGAAGGTCTCTTAAGAAAGAAGCCGAAAATTGGTGCAGGATTTCCCTGGAGCAGGTAACAAATTAAAAAGTTTGGACGTGCCGTCTTGAAAGGTATTCGTGTTGTCGTCGGCGCTGTTCTTCAAGATTCATTTGATTCTCAGTGTCTCCCCATCAGTATTTTAACAGTTCAAGTTAATTCAGCATTCACGCGTCAAAATCGGGCTCGCCTCTTTTAACTTCTACATTTCAAGGATTAATAGAATGATTAACAAAATGATTCGCTGAAAAAGGAAAAAAAGGCCAAATATCCTGATGAGGAACTCGCTAAAAAATGAAAAACTCTTGGGAAAAACTACTTACACTAGCGTGAATTGTCTCCGGGTCTTCGGTTTCCAAATCTGAATTCCTCTGTTCATTTCAGCTGGTAGCTCAAAACTGAATTTTAAACATAGCGCCCGAATGCAAAAATACCCTTAGGAAATTTAGAGGACGCGTTGCTATCGGCAACGGATTTAATTTATAACAATTCGATACCAGCGATATTGCAATATTATACTTTCTCATGAGGGCATGGTGATCTACAATGGCTAACAGTTTCTAATAAGTTATCGGTGGTTTCTAGGCCGGTAAAAGTTGTTCAAAGTGAAAAGCCTTATGTATTGCATTAAGAAGGTGCCAACAGTCCCGTTGCTCCCTCATTGGTAACCAGCCTACGGTAGTTTAAATATAGTATGCACGGCGTGAGATGGCAGCTGAAAACTGGATACAATGAAGCCCTTCGATCGAGAGAAATTTACGCTAAGCAAGAAAAAAAACATACGTCTAGGTATGATAGAACTGAGGAATCAAAAGTTGTTTTCTTAAGCATGGCCAATGTATCGTACACGGAAGTAGGAAACCCAATGCTAGCCCATTTGAAGTTATTGTTGATGTACGCCCCGAGAAACTTGTTGAGCCAACACTCTCCAAAGGTTTTCTTCCAGCAGTAAAATTGAGTGGGCGGTCGGCCAGCGTGTTGTAGGTTGACATATCTGCTGGGTGGGGAAAAGCATGCACTTGGTCTTAGTAAGATTCAAGGCATGGCCGGAATCCTTAGATTACGCGCGGTCCATGCGTGGTGAGAGAACGATTCAAATCTCTCACCCACTGCACATTGGGTAAATGCAGTTTGGGAACAAGCTGTGGATGGATCGAGGTTATTTGCAGATCTGGCACATACAAGATGAAGATCATCGGCCAAAGGATGATCCCTTGAGGCTAAATAACAAAACGTCCCTTCAACCACTTGAGACCCATCCCGGCCCATACCCTCTTATGTTTTTACCTACCTTTTGTAATTTTTGTACCAGAGGATATAATGGATATAATGGATACAAGTCCCCCACAGGAAAGCATAGCGATCCTTATCCGGGACGAGTCTGATATTAATACCATAATGGAAGTGTTTGGTGGTGCAGTCTTACAGAGCATTAATCCTGTCACATCGAGAGATCCGTGCTCTATGAAGAATTTACTCCTTTCGCAAATTACGCCAGTGAGATCCTGTTTTGTTATTGTTGAATCTACGAAAATAAAAGAGGAATTTCTGACGAACTCCAGCAGAACAGTTTACCAAGAGCTCCTGAAAACTGTCAATAGGATTGTAGGTAAGAACATTTCCTCTCCCTTTTCCTTGCACACTTCAATGTTATACCAAGAGATCCGCCTCTCGCTTCCTTTGGATGAATTTGTAACCAGTTTGGTTTAAAACCATGTTACTTATTATGCATTTAGAAATTTTTTTCACGGCGGGGCCAAACCACCCCCCAAAGCGCTTATTAAGGCTAAATTTACGTATTTTCCACATTACTTTTCATTTCTCGACCAAACTTGCCGGATAGACTACGGTTGTTGACCAAATGATATTAAGTTTTTGTTTGACTCAAAATGTTAAATTGTGACGTCACAAAGGCTGACGTCACCAAAATGGGATAAATGCAGTTTATAATTTCAAAGTCAAACTTATATCATTTGAAAGGGCTTTAGAAGAGGAGTAAAATAGTGAAAACGGTTTCTGGCTACGACACGTAAAACCCAAGTTATAAGACTTCAAAGAAATTTGATTTCACTCCCCCGGAACCATACTTTTAATAAAAAACGATCCCTCTGATATTTTTTCACAGTTTTTGGCAAAAAAAGCTGATTTTCCGGTGACATATACCTTTTATAGTTGGCCAAAATCGTATCATTTTAGATTTTTGTTTTTTGACTCAAAAACACTAATTTAAGGAAACCAAAAAATTGATCACGTGACATTTTATTTCCGGGTTTTTGCGCAGTTAGGAATTTCTTTTTCCTTTAGCTTTCGACAGTAAATATGTGTTATGTATAACTTAAAACAGCAAGGGTCACTCGACAATAAAACGCTGAAATTAAGACTTATTTTAAAAGGGGGGTACCCCGTTTTTGTGCTCCGAATTTATCCAAATTCAAAATGTCATATCTCAGCTCATATTTGAGATACTGAAAAAATTTTTTCAGCTTTCATCTTTCCTTGAATGGTTCTTTCTAAAACGATATAAAAAATTGGGAGATTCAAAAGTTTAAAATTTACGTATGAATGACGTCAGCAAATATGACGTCATAATTTGACATTTGGTGTCATCCTATGAGCGATTTTGATTGGCCTGATGTTTCGTATTTTCAGGCCAAGTTTGGTTGGGAAAGGGTGAAAGCAAGCAAAGTTATTTTAAATTATTCGAAATTGTCACGTTTTGATAAGCCATTTGGGGGTGGTTTGGCCCCACCGTGTTTACGTTTTATCTCCTGACAAAAACCATGAAATTAAACTTAAAATGAAGCGTTGTGAGGCATGTTCTGATTTTCTTTCTTCGATGGCACATTCTGATGTTCATTTCTTTTTTCAAAAAAACATTGAATGAAGAGAAGCTTCCATGACATCAACGAAAAAAGTATGCTGTTGCAGTCAGTTCTGAACGCAACGTGGCGTGTTGTCAGAGTACTGAACGTTCAATACATACACTACATACACTTACATACACTTTATTGATGCTCCCTAAGTGGGCTTTTCAGCTCAATAGAATAAAAAATACAAATTTATATAAATTAATTAAGAATGTAAGTACAATAATGTTATAATTACAAAAATATATCAACTTAATAAAACATTTGCAAGATGACGCCTAAAATTCCTAGGGCATTTTAAGGACTTAATATTATCATTCAAGGAGTTCCAGAGTTTGGCTCCTCTGAAAGCAAAGGAGCGCTGCCCTGTTGACAGGCGACATAAAGGTATATCCAAAGCACCAGATGATCGAGTTTGTCTATTATGGACTTGAGAACGTGATTTAAACATATCAGCAAGATAGTCTGGAACAAGCTTGTTAATACATTTGTGCATCATAGTAGCGTCATTTAGAATGAGTTTCTCTCTAATAGGAAGCCATTTCAACGATCGCAACCCATCCGAAATATGGTCATACTTTCTTAGTCCCAGAATAATTCGTCCAGCAAAGTTTTGGACTTTTTGTAACTTGTCAATATTGCTGCTGCTGGTATTACTCCAGACAGTTGAACAATATTGGAGTTTACTAAAGACAAATGAATTTATTACTAACAAAAGTGTTTTCCTATCCAGGAGATGCTTGATTCTGTTAATTTGGTACAATTTAAAAAGGCATTTCGAGGCAGTCTCAGTGATATGTTGGTTATAACTGAAGCGTGTGTCGAGAAGAACACCCAAGTCCTTAACGACAGGCACAGGCAATCCGGAAGTTGCAGGATCTAATCTCACTATGACCCCTTGGTGCAGTCGTGTTAGTAGCACCAACTCTTTGGCCACACTTGTAAAAAGCCAAAAGGTTTGCCGCCTGCTAGTTAGGATTCTTAACACTGTTATGTTTGATTTAAATTTATGGTTTTAGTTATTTGCTGTGCCACATAAGGTTTTGTATTATAAAAACTTTCCATGTTAAATATAGTAAACCAATTTCCATTTTGTCTTTTCGTTAACAGAGAAGAAGATTGTTGTCATCCTTTGCAGTGAAGGAAAAAGCCTTACTCCTAGTGAAGAAGAAAGCATCACAGCTACAATTAAAGGGCTTCTCGGAAAAAAAGGCTTGGTCTTTTGGTGCAAGGAAAACAACAAAACTAAGCGATCACACTCTCCTCCAGCTAGCAATCTTGCTCTCTCAGCGCATGTAGAACGTTCCATAAACCCTGAAGAGTTTGCTCCTCAGAAGATGGCCCACAATTTGTTGACAGAGCGGCAAACTATCAACAGTGCTGAATTATCAGTATATCGCGAGAACAAAACTGGAAAAGAGCGCACAGCTGTCCGAGATTTGGAAAGCCGTTCTAAAGGTGCCTTAGGGCGCTCCGGGTTGACGAGTGTCCGGGAAAAAGTCGTTGACGGGGCAAACGCGATTGGTACCGAAAAAGACGAAGACATAGCGGATGAAGAAGTACCCTTTGTTCTTGTCAGCCCGGGTGATTTACAATGCTTACAAGGTAAGAGGGATTTAATGTGTAATGGTAAAAAGGAGTAGCGTAATAATAATAATAATAATAATAATAATAATAATAATAATGATAATGATGGTGATTAATTAACAGTATTTTTATAACAACATGGTACATTATACAGGTGGTTGAAATTATATTTGAATATACAATCACTGTTCAAGGTAAATTAAAAAAGGCACTAATTAAAAAAAATAAAAAAGGAAATTTTACTGCGCCCTTTCAAAATAGTGAAGGTCTCTTAAGAAAGAGGCGGAAAATTAGTGCAGGATTTCCCTGGAGCAGGTAACAAATTAAAATGTTTGGACGGCAGTCTTAAAAGGTATTCGATGCCAGCAATATTGCAATGTTGAAGATCATCGACCTAAAGATGGACCATTGAGGCTATAAATAACAAAACTTGCCTTCAACCATTTGAGACCCATCCTGGCCCAAAAATGAAATGTATACATTCTCTCTTATTTTTTTTTACTACCTTTTGCTATTTTCGTACCAGAGGATTCCTTGCCAAAAACAGAACCTATACGTATACGTGCCGAAGGAGTGGATACAAGTCCCCCACAGGAAAGCATAGCGATCCTTATCCGGGACCAGTCTGATATTAATACCATAAAGGAAATGTTTGGTGATGTCTTGCTGGGTATTAATCCTGTCACATCGAGAGATCCGCGCTCTATGAAGGATTTGCTCCTCCAGCAAAGCACGCAAGTGAAATCCTGTTTTATTGCTGTTGAATCTACAAAACTGCTGACGAAATCAAGCAGTGAAGTTTATCTAGAGCTACTGAAAACTGCCAATGAGTTTGTAGGTAAGAACATTTCCTCACCCCTTTTCCCTGCACAATTCGTTGTTTTACCCAGAGCGTTGAGGCGTTAACCCAGTTACGCCCTATCTCCTGACAAAAAAACATGAAAGTTAACTTAAAAAGAAGCGTTGCGGGGTATTTTGTCTAAACTGTTCTGATGTTTTTTCGTCTAAAAAAAGAATGAAAAATAGCTTTCCAAAAAGTACAATGTACTGTTTCAGTCAATGATGAACGCAGCGTGCCGTCTGGTTAGAGTACTGGACGTGGAATCCGGCAATTCCAGGTTGTAGTCTTACTGTGACCCTGGCTGTAGTAGCATTTAAGTAGCACCAAATCTTTGGCCATACCTGTAAATGGCCAATAGATCGTTTTCACTGTCGCGCAACGAAAAAATAAATTGGAAACCGTCGAGTGGAAGAAGCCAAGAAAATGAAATATTATAAAAGACCAATATATAAACAATTTGTCCCAGTCTCAGGTCTTTGTGGTCCACAGTTTCTGAGTTATTTGCCGAAACGTCTCACGCATCTTTGTAGAGCTTTGTATGGAGACGCCATATTGATGTACTGTTTTGGTGCACCAATATGGCCGCTGGAAATCAACAAAAACATCTGGAGTTCACTATTTCTATAAAAGATCTTTCTTTTTACTCGAGAACTAGCATGCATGCGCATGATTATATCTTCTAATACTTGAAACGGTTATACTGCTGAAAATCAAGAGGAGAGACTTTTTTTTTCAACGAGACAACATTTCTATTTTGGTGTCACGCACCGTGAAAACTCGGAAGTTCAAATTGCTGTATTTTCGAAATGAAACTTGCTACGGGAATGGAAACTTGTACAAAGATTTATGTTTTGTTTATCTTCAACCCAGTGTAAATAAGAATTCGTAAAACTTCGCTATTTTGACTTTACAATTTGATGACGTCACTGTGAAAACCATCCATAGGTTTGCCCCCTGCTAATAGTCCAGTTTCGAATTAAAAATTACCGCTGAATACAAACATTAACGACACATTCATACAGGGTTAGCCTCGACGTAGAGTAAAATATTCAGAAATTCTGGCAAGTAAGTGTTTGAAATTTGAATATACACAATAGACAGAGTAATAAACAGGTCTTTTTCTCGTTGGAATTTGTGAACATGTTACTTCAGATGGAGGCTAAGGCTGTAAAAAATGCGTCGTCACTTCTTTAATTCAGCGGTCATAGCGAACTCGAAAATGGACTATTATGTTGTTTGAATATTTTCTTTGCCTCACAAGGTTTTCCATTATAAAAACTTTCCAGATTAAAGAAAGTTTTTTTTGGTAAGGGTACAATAGCGTTGGATACCAGCGCTCTTTTTTTATTCGTGTCACAAGAATTTGGCACTCACTTCTGTCAGAGTTAAAATCAAATACGTTATGCTAGCCCAGTTTAAGAGACTTCTTAGGGATTACTATGCCACTGCCCTACGGACTTGCTATAATGTATAGAGGACCCCAGAACATGGAAGACAATTTGTCTAAAATGTAACTACGGTCGCAATCTAACTAGCCGCGCACCTGCTGCTTTTAGCCTTTCCAACAAGCCTTTCTTTTTCCAATCCTTATGTTGCTTTTATTTTTGATATTTTGTCAATTTCCGGGCCAAGAGTAATTGGTTTATCTGTTGTGGTGACCCTGCCATGTATGTATATGTATGTTATTATTATATTTTTTTTATTTTGGGGAAGATTCATAAATGAATACTAGTAAATAAATAAATGATGTAGTAACCAATTTCCAGTTTGTCTTTTCTTTAACAGAGAAGAAGATTGTTGTAATCCTTTGCAGTGGAGGAAAAAGCCTCACTTATAGTGAAGAAGAAAGCATCACAGCTTCAATTAAAGAAATTCTCGGCGAAAAAGTCTTAGTTTTTTGGTGCAAGGGAAACAACAAAACAAAACGTTCCAGTTTTATTCGATCACAATCTCTTCCAGAAAATCCAAAAAAACCTGAAGAGCTAGTTTTAAAGACTCGTTTGCTCCGAGGAAAGATTTCATACGACAAAAAAGACGTAAAAAAGAGGGTAGGAGAATGGACAGCTCCTCAGTTCATGGACGAAAGTTTGTTGAGAAAGTGGCAAACTACCGAAAGCGCTGAATTGGCAGTATACAGAGACCTGAAAACTGGAAATGAGCGCACAGTTGTGACTGAGGACTTGGAAAGCTTTTTTAAAGGTGCTTTGGGACGCGTCGGGGTCACAAGTGAAGGGGCAAACGTTTCTGGGTGGATGAACACCGGGGCAAGCCTTTATGGTGCCATCAGGCAGTACGGGTCAAACCTGATGAGTGGGAACGTGCCTGATACTGAGGCCACTGTGTCGAACGTAAGTGAAGATAGTCGTCCCGAAGGAAGCAGCAACATTTCCTCTGCTAACAGTAATCAAGATCTCGTCCTTGACTAGAACAAGAGTAACATATTGGAGTGACAGTAAATGAGCAATGCCTTATTTGAAGGAAATTTGACTGAATAAAAGATGTACAATCTAATTACCGTTTATATAAGGCTAAAGCGTAGGGGAAATTAAAGTGCAGACTCGCCAACATAAGTGCTATTTTGAAATCCAACGAAGTGTTTCTGTTGATGAAAAAGTGTTGCCTAATCCTGCTAAAAATTAGCATTTGATAACATGAAACTATTAAAAAGTGTCTTTGGCGTAAGAAGATGACACGGTAAAAGTTGAAAATTATAAGTTTGAGTGTTAGTTAGGGGAAAGACGCTCCAAAAGTATTAATTATAGTTTTCTCATTCGCTACTGGAGAATGGAGTGTGTGTTCCTTGCTGATGGTTCTCCTGAAGTTAGCAATGAAGCTTGGAAGGCTTCTCATAATGTATCTTTCTTTTAGCACTTCAGTCACGGCCATTTTAACTTTAACTTAGGCCAGTTATCTTCGTGGCTTACGCTAGGCAGCTTTCCTTCTGATGTAACTTTCCCTCCTCCGGGGCCGGCTTACCGCAATGAATGTTGTGATCAAAATGCCATGAAAATATTGCTAATGATAACATAAAACGAAGTTTACGTTTTGACAACTACTCCTCCACCAGCTTTTATCAGGTCGTTACGGATTTACTTCACCAAAAAGCTTAGAATATGGACAAAAGCATGTGTAATCGTTGTCTAATAATTTTTTCACTGAACAACATACATTAAGTGCCAGTTAACCTTAATTAGTATGTACCTTGATCATTTGGAAAATAGGGGTGAGAAACAATGAACACCTTAGCCGCTACAAGCATTGTTCCTATAGTTCTTTATTTACCTCGCTATAGTAATTACAAAAACTATTAAGACTATTAACTATCGAGTTATCAGTGAATACGATCGCGGGAGGACCACTCGTGTCAAGCATCTGTTACCTACAAACAGATTCCATTTATCAGAAATCCTACCAGATATCAACATGCTGGTGAGAGCATAAAGGTCGCCATTAATCCGTAGGGGAGTTTGTTGGTGTGTAGGGGGCTTTTTCTTTCTTTGTTATTGCTGTTGTTGTTGTTTCCTTTTTTACGACGTTATTATGTCCTCTCGGAATCGTTTTGTTTCAAACAATGACTGGAATTAATTAAGAGTAGAAGAAGCTCTTGATCGTATTCATAGCTCTTCAATGATTTTTTCACTTTGATTTTTTGTGGGACCAGCTTATCAGTCTTTTTGTTGTAAAAAATAATGGTGAACGTTATTTCTATGACATCACAGGCACTTCTGTTAGTCAAATAAGTAAATCACAGTCCAAATCACTAAGGTAATGAGCAAAAACCTCCGCCTACTTAGACACAAGTAGGGGATTGGGAATACGCTCTAATAGTGTAATCATATTTGGTTTGAAACTAATCTGGTAATCTAGCCATCACTGAGTAATAATTAAAAAAGTGACTTCGGGCTGATTAGATGGAAAATAAAAGTAATAGCATAACTATTTTTATTGAGAGTAACACTTAAAATATACCTCGATAAATAAATCTACACATGGCCCTCAGAAAAAATAAATAAATAAATAATACAAAAAAACTATCGAAAAACTATCATCAAATGATTTTCAAGCGAAAGTTTGAAGATAAACTAACTAAGGAATTGCTAAAGATTGTCCATTACAATTTACAAACTTCAATTCGCTTAAGTTTGTTTTCGAAAGACGTCAAGGCAATGCAGTCTTTCAACTCCTGAAGAAGTCTGTTGCACGAGCTTGCGGCACTGAACATAAATGAGCGCTGTCCGAAAGACTGTTTAATTCTGGGTCACTTTAAATTTCTTTTACTGCTTCTTGTTTCTCTGGAATTCACTTCGCTGAAACTTAAAAACGTCTTTGCAATCTAGTTAGGCAGCAAACCATTTAATACCTTAAAAAAAACCGTTTTTGCCTTTAATAGTTTCACCACTCGCTCTTGAAATGGGAGAATGTTAAGATCCTTGAGTAGAGCCATGGAAGTAGCGTGTCCCAGGGAGCATCCATTATTATAGTATTCCCTCATTTTTACTGGCTTTATTACTTATGTGAACTAATCCTAAAAAATGCTGAAATTCAAGAAACATTTTTGCTTTCAATTTCATTTTCTCCAGTTTACTTCGTTGCTCTTCGCGCACCTTTGACAGAAAAACAAAACTCCACCTTGTGTAAGACAGCAACTAAACCACTAAGTTATTCTGTTCAGTGAATACAGGTGTAGTCAACTAGTACGACTGGAAATAACTATTTTTATGTACAGTGGTTTCAATGACGCCGCTGAATTAAGAGAAAACAATTTCAAACCCCGTCATAAAGGCTCTTTTAGTTTTTTTTATATGGCAGCGGAAGTGAATACTCATGCCGTCGCCACATTGGAATAAGAGAAGACCCTGGGGACGAGGTTGAACATTTCTCGGAAAGCGAACAAGGCTTAGACTCCAAAACAAAACCAGACATGCCTGATACAATGCAGCGAGTTCAGATCGTCCAAAGGAATCGAACGCTCAAACATTGCTACATTTTCAGTAGCAATAATACTTGTAACTTGGACGTTGTGGGAAAAATTCTTTCCTGTTTAAAAGAAAAGCTGGGAGTCAAAATGCTCGCTTTTAAGAATCATTTTAGCCTGTCCGACACAACAGAGATGTGTGAGAGTATTATTCCCGATTTGCCAATGGATTTTGCAATATTTGTCGTCCATGCGAACGAAGATCGCTTTTTAATCAACGAAGACAGCGCGAAGATTTACAAAACTTTGTGGAATGCCACAGGTAAGTTCTAATATTATGTAACACTGGTTTGCCGTCTACCTATTTGTAAAACAACACGCCTAATATTCAATTCGATCGATGATAATCAGCCTAGCATCATATAAACAACCTAGAATGAACTTTTCAACCAAAAAGTCGCTATCAATCACTTTTTGTGAAAATCGTGGAACAAACAAACCCTTTTATACAAATACAGTATGTTGCCCAGTATCCGGACGGTACCAGTATCCGGACACTTGAAACGAAAACTCAATTTTTGAGGCGCCTTTTTCAGTTCTCGGTAAACGAAGTATTTCGAATGAAAGCTGAACATTTCAGCTTTAAGATGGAAGTTTTGGCGATTTGAAAGCTTGCGAAACAGTCGCAGAAGACGCCGTTCTGTTCAGGTGAATAAACTTTTCATGGCTAATGTTTACGCTGTTTACTGCGCAGTAAAGTTAATGCTGCTCAGAAAAGGGAGGGTAGTGTGTGATATTTTCAAAGAAACTGTTTTATTTTTAAAGTGAAGACACTTAAGGACGTCAGGTTTTCAGAGAGTTTATTAATTCTTCTTGAAATTCGATTTGTTTGGAATAACGGAAGCCAGAAAAATTCACTAAGTTTTGATGTCATGTGCCCAGTATCCGGACAGTTTTTTCTTTGCTGTACAGAATCGATGAATTAGCTGTGTACATTCTCCGGATAAGATTTATTTCATATCAGTAACTATAATTAAAGCTTAGGATATATGATATAGTCGTAAAATGTAACTCTACTCAACTCCGTATGGAAATTTTCTTCACTGAGGGGGGCATTGGGATTTTTGGTTTTGCGGTTTTGGCTATTTTTTAGATCGATTTTTCGATTTTTGTTGCAAAAGACTTCGGTTTTTCGGTTTTGCTGGTCATTGCGGTTTGCGGATTTTTCGTTTTTTAGCATCTGGTTTTCGGTTTTCGTGAAAAATACTAGCGGTTTTTCGGTTTTGGTACCCGATGTGGTTTTTGGTTAATTCCTATTTTGTCCTATTCTATTCTATTCTATTCTATTGGTTTTTCCTATTTTGGTACCAAAAGCCCGACACAACGGTGTCTCTTCATAACGTACCGTTGATGATGCCTCTGTTCGTTGTCAGCCTTCCTGCAAATGACTGTGACCTCTTACGCAACTGGGCCTCAGCATATGGTGCTGCAGTAAGACAAACGACACTGCGGCAGGAAACTACAATGGCTAAGCACGGAACATTGCCAGAGTATCTTTATCAACGCCATCTCGAAGTTGGTGATAAGGTTAATCTGAACTTCGGAGTTGATGAAGATGAAGGACCCCATGAAGATCTGAACGAGCGTGAAGTGAGTGAGGAAGCTAGTGTCTCTAGCGAAGGCCAGCAAGAATTTGATGAAAGTAGTGACGAAGAAGTTGAAGTCAGTGCAGATGACAACAATTCTCAGGGCCAGCAAGATGAATTAGGGGCATCGACGAATTTTCTCTTTGGTGCAAGGCCGCGATATGGAAGGGCAGTGAGGTTCAATAACCGACTGCTGTTTTGCATGAGTATCTGTTTATTACCACATTAAACCTTAGAGCAAGTTCCTGCTGCCATGTAAAACTGAAAAGGAACTAATCGTACCGGTTCGCTTCCTCTGTGTCGACTCAGCTCAGTGCAATCGCATGTCAGACAATCGAGTCTCCAAACTTTCAGGTGTTAGTTATCAAATGGAAATGTTCGATTAGAGATTTTCGATTGAAGTTTCCAGAGCTATAGCTTTTTGCGACTGCAAAATTGCAATTCTAAAGACGACTTGTGTGCAAATTCTCCTAAGTTAACTAGGCTCCATAACTAGCGGCTTTTCGGAAATTGAGCCGCAAAGTCTGGGCTCGAGAGAGCGGCAGAAACAAAGCCTATGATTTAAGCAGACACAAAAAGGTACGAAGGCTTCAGAGAAAGTCCATGACATTCACAAATACTTTGGTGAAATTAGTGTTAGTTTAGTTTGCTCTGTATGCCCCACTTGTCACCATTGTATCGAATTTTGACGGTTTTGTATGCGGTTTTCGGTTTTGGCCGAATTTTTTTGCGGTTTTTGCGGTTTTGGATGATTTTTTCTTCGGTTTTGCGGTTTCTAATATACCCCAATGCCCCCCCCTTCACTCATTCAGAGGCGACTTGATTTCGTGTGCGCCGCTTGTTTCGCGTGACTGCATTTTCTATATATAACTGAAAGCGTCCGAGTTGAACCTGGAATTCTCATACTTTCCCTATTTGGGACTGCTATAGAATGGGGTTGCAATGGTCTAAAAAATGTCACAAAGGGATTGAGAGATGTGAAAGAAGGAGGAATTAGTGCTAGAAAAGAAGGCTTATTGTGGGGCGACTGAGCATGAAGAAATCAACACTGCAGGTCAGACTAAATAGGAGAGTGACCTTTGACCGTCGGTTTGAGGTCCCTTCCCCAAGCTTTTCTTTAAATAAAAAATGAACAAAGAAAGTCGTTTGCAGATTGGCTAATTGAGCTTGCAAACTGCGGCTTCAGCATGTCCACGGATGCCTTCCTTAAATTAGTGGAAAAGTTCCTAGACAAAGAAGTTAGAAATTATACCATTTTTAAAACAGCCGCTCGCGTTCCCCACCATACCCCAGTCATTTGCTATGTTTTATTTCACGATGCTAGGTTATATTTTCGGAATCGATTGCCAGACTACTTTGCAAGTGCAAGAGAAGCTTATAAGTCGCTTGCCTGTCGAAATTTATGTACAATTACGTTATTATTGTTGTGTCCGGATACTGGGCCAGCTGTCCGGATACTGGGAAACATAGGAGCTCTGCAAAAATTTTAATTTCGCGATGGAAACAAAGGCAAAAAAGTTAAACTGTCTTTCCTCATATTAAGGACTAGATAGATTTTCTCTGGGCCAAATTTCAGAGCTCTTGCGATTAACAAAGGAAAGTTATTGCAATCTTAAACTGAAGTGTCCGGATACTGGGCAATATACTGTACCACCATGAATATCTTCCACGACATGATGGCATTGTTGATCACTTCGGTTTTGTACAACAACTAAGTGATTTCTTAAATCGAAGAAGAAGAAGAAGAACCGTTATTAATTTATACCGCTCAGGGTAGCCCCTTCAGACGCAAAAAGCTGTCTGTTATCAATGGGAGCCCTGAGCAACAAGGCACAAAAACACACTAAACATATAAACATTACACTAATACAGGTAATAATATAAATAGAAAACTATTTTCAATTAAAAGATTAAAAGATGTAAAACACGAAATATCATTAAGATAATTCGTTAAAAAGAGTGCAACCATAATAATAGAAGGATCTTTTTGCAATTTCAGTTCTCACAGCAGGCGGATGTAAGAGGTTGCTTTGTCTAGTAGCGCGCGCATGGATTGTATTATTACGTTTAAAATATTGTTTAAAATACTGGGGACATTGACCTTGCAGGCATTTCTTAACGAGTTTAAAAACAGATCGACGTCGGCGCTCCTCCAAGGTGGGCCATTTCAGAACGTCCAATGCCTGCTTGCTGCGCACAGTACAAGCCACTATCCTAGCAGCCCGGTTTTGGAGGGCTTCAAGGTCTTGTTTACGACTTTCCCCGCAAGAGCCCCACACACTTACACAGTATTCTAAAATTGGCCTAATTAGACTACAGTACACTACATTTGCACTCTCTCTAGTGAGACTTCTGCGAAGCCTGCCGAGCATTCCTACGCGTTTTCCCGCCTTCGAAATTAGGTACTTTATTTGCTCGTTCCAGCTAAGGCGGTCATCAAAAACTATACCTAGATAAGTGAAGTGAAAAACCCGCTTAATTGCATTGTTATTTAAAGTAATAGAAAAAGAGTTAACAGCAGATAATCTAGGAGCGGTTCCGAAAAGCATAGCTTCGGTTTTTGTTACATTAACAAACAGACTATTAAAAGAAAGCCAGTGATCAATCTTAGACAGTTCGGCATTCAGCTTGTCTTGAATGACAGAGGCTTGAGAGGATGAACAGTATAAAACAGTGTCATCAGCGTACATGAGAATATTGCAATCGGACACTACTTCAGGTAAATCATTAATGTGTAGAATAAACAATAATGGTCCGAGGATAGAGCCCTGAGGCACACCAGTAGAGACGGCTTCCGAAGCAGAAGTCACCCCTTGAAACTCTACAACTTGGGTGCGGTTTGACAGGTAATCCGTAAACCAGCCATGCTCTTTATCCAAAATCCCCAAATTGGAAAGCTTGTCCAGAAGTACCGCAAGATCCACAGTGTGCTTTGCGAAGGTCAATAAACACAGCACCAGTTAATTGACCTTGGTCCATGTTCCTACGAATATTATCAGAAAAACTAAGAGCAGCGAAATCAAGCTAAAATCAGTGAGAAAAAGGGTAAGAAGCTATTTGATTTCGTTTTCAAATTTAACCTAAAAAAAGGAACTAGCAAGAAACAGTAGAGTAAAGCAGGTGTTTACCACGTTGCATTGTAAAATATATCACCCCGTATAAGGAAATCTGAAACAGTCTTGGATTCTGGATTCCTTGCCACGGATTTCTGTCTCTTTGATAGGGTCTTAATAGTGGAACGTGGATTCTGAATTCTGGATTCCTTGAGCTCGACACTTACGTGCAGTGCAAAAGTCTAAAAGTCCCGATTTATAAAGGAATTTTAACTTCTTTTATTGAGTTATAGGAGGAAAAGTACTCGTTGTTATCGGTGGTGATGACAACTACAAGGACTCTGCTGAGGAACAAGGTTCCTTCCTGTCGCACTGGGCTCGGAAAAAAGTTTCTTCTCAGTTCAGCGAAGAATACTTGGATGGAAGGCAGAGCTTTATCTTCTCTTGGAACGATGGTCACAGACCAATTCACGAAGAAGCACTGTTGCACTTCTTTGATCCTCATAAACAGGAAAAGAAATTTGTCCCTGAAAAGAAGACTGAACAAGCGGTTACTCAAGCGGTCCCCAAACAGGTTTGCTTGTGTGCATGTACCTTGTGAAATTTTGGCAACACTATTTTGAAAAAATCTATATTCAGTGGTACTTCGATATACTCGGCAACTGATGATTTTGCACACTTTTTGGAACAAACAGATCGCCTCGTTTTCCCGAATTTAGGAACTGAAAATCAGAATGTCACTAACTCTGTAATAGTTATTGTTTAACCAGATATAATATTCGTTTTATCTTATCAAGAACTCATAATTACAATCTCGTGTTCTGATAACCTAACGCAGGAAGAAGATGAGCACAGGGATGAGTCAAATGTACCGTTCGAGGACTTCGAGGAAATAACCCATGCTGATATACCAGGTAAAGGGAACTCAGTGTAAATGTGTAAAAGATAAATAAATAAATAGCCGAAAAACGGCATCCCAATGCCCTCAAAATATATATAACAATTATTCACCAACAGTGTCGGTGTCTTACCGAGACGCGAAGACGCAAGGTAGATATTTTTTTTATGTTAGAATGCACTAAAAACACCTATATATTTCAGCTTAAAAGTGATACATTTTCACTCTTTTATTGCTGCCAACGATTACAATTTTGGCGCGCAAATAACCGATGTTACTGCCGTCACGTTGTCTTGATAACAAATAAGACTTTTAAACGCAAGGTTTTAGTGCTTCGGTTGTTGAGACATTTCTTCATAAGGGGTTGTGAATTTTTCCTGCATTTGAAACCATTCTGTACAAAAAAACATTAAACTTAGTTCAATTTTTAATGTACATGTTAACTAAACAAAGTAGCGCAAGACTTAATGTGCGTTTTTAAACATAAAACTTGTTCACCGGTTTCATCGATAAATTTAGGTTAAACAGACAAGTGCAAAAAATTCTAAATTGAATTTCGTCCCCCTCTTCCTGTTTATTGGGAACAGCTTCTTCGATAATTTGTGAAATTTCTTCGTTTGTTACGGCAGCAAACAGGGAAGACATTTTGCTCGTAACTAACGTCAGTTTGGCGTCGCCTGGGGGTGAATAGTACCGGATTTCCAGAGTTTGAGCAGCCAATCAGAGCGCGCGAGAAACGCTATCCACTGTTTTAGTTTGCACTAAAAACGTTTATTCTGAATATGTTAATCTCCACCTGAGTTTTTTTGCTCTCATGGTACAATATTCTTTGCCCATATCAGATCCTACAACAACCCAGAACCAAGCAAAGGATACAAGTCCGTCGTCTTTACGGGAACGCATAGCGATCCTTTATCGGAACGAGCATGATATGACTACTGTCAAGGAAGTGTTTGGTGATGGCTTAACGGGCATGAACATTGTCACATCAAATAATCCTCATGCTTTCAAGGATTTTCTTCTCTCGCTAGATTCTTCAGTGAGATCTTGTTTTATTGTTGTCGAATCTACCAACATGAAAGAGAAACTACTGACAAATTCAAACAGTACAGTTTATCAAGACCTACTAAAAATTGCCAGTTGGACCGTGGGTAAGAATATTTTTTCGCCTCTTTATTTTCTAGCCTGTGTGGCATGCGCTTAGAAGTACTGAGTGGTTGCAAGAAAGAAAGGGGCACGACGCGACGCGAGGGGAGAGGGAGCGTGGCTCCCTCTCGCGCTCCCGTTCTTTCTTCCACCCAAATACTTCCAAGCGCCTGCTACGTACACACACGTCATAGTTGTGCCTAGTGTATCTTGGATTTATTTTTTGGTCCCGAGTTGAATTCCTCGGCCACGCGTGTAAATAGCCAACTGATTGATTCCTACCAGTTAACAGCATGGAGTTGTGTTTCACTTGAACTGCTTGCTTTAGTTATTTCCCCTGTTTCACATCTACAGCCTTTGTGCTATAAATACTGCCAAATATGAATACAAAGGTTACCCTGTGTCATTTTCGCTTCGTATCTAACCGGCAAGTGCCCCGACAACCAACAAGGAAAAACTAAACACCGTTTCCTTTTCGTTACAGCGAAAAAGATTGTTGTGATTCTCTGCAACGATGAAGGAGGTAAAATTTCTTCACGGGAAGAAGAAACCATCACAGCACAAATTGAAGAGCTCCTAGGCCAGAAAGGATTAATTTTTTGGTGGAAGAGGAGTACTAAAACCAAATCGTCAGTTTTTTTACGTGCCTTTGAACTCTCCGCAAAATCTGGCTTAAGACAACCAAGCCAAGGATATAAGTACTTATCACTAAAATTGGGCATAGGTCAAAGTTTAAATGGTTAGGAGACTTTGAAGAGCTGAAATTGTTTGTAGACGGGTATTTGAAAATCACAGGAACGTGGAGCTACATGACGAACAATGGCGGCTTTCATACGATGAAAGCCGAAGGTGCCTCCATAAGCTTTTATCCTGGAACAAAAACACTCAATGTACAAGGGTCTAAATCCGAAATTATCGGCCAGAAGCTACTACAATTTGCAAGTACAGGTAGCGAGGAACAAAGCCATTTTGCAGCATCAAATATTCAAACCAATTTCGTAAGTGACGATGACAACGAACAACAAGAAGGTCTTGAAGAACATGAGACTTTGTCTTCGGACGAGATTACCGAGGACTTGAATGCTCATACCAAATGTTCCAGGGTCATAGAAGCCGCAATTCGCGAGTTCAGACTCGAGGTTGGCAAACTGCGTTCGAAATTCGCTGAACTTTCAAATCTTTCAACAGCGAAAAGATCTGATGAAACCAGACTTCACGATGAAAACAGAGACCTAAAACAGAAGTTACAAGAATTAGAAATGCAGTATGATTCTCTAAAGCGTGAATCTAGAGCCATCCAAGATGAAAACAAAAGCTTATTGACGGCCCTACGATTGCTTAGTAGCGAAATTCCAAGTGAAACCAAGCATACAGCTCCCGAAATTAATGTACAAGCTGACGGGGAATGGACTCAAGCCAAATCATCGAAAAGAGCAAAACAATCAACCTCCAGTCTGAGTTCGAACAAACTCTGTAATCAAGCTGATGAAAATAAAGAAGCAGCTCATGCCTCTCCTCAAACAACTGAACACTCAGCTGAACAATCAGGTACTCAACAATCCAAAGGTAAGAGGAGTGTCTTGTTGATCGGTGATTCTATGATTAAAGCGATTGAAGAGCAAAAACTCTCCAAGTCTCAGTCTGTTAAGAAAATTTGTTCGAGGAGCGCCAAGATAACTGCAATTAAAGATCAGCTCATTCCTGCGCTGCAGCACACTACTTATTACTTATGACAGTGTCATAATTCATGCTGGAACAAACGACTTGAATGAATCTCAGCCTGAAGATGTAATAAAGGGTCTAAATGAAATGGCAGAGGAAGCGATTAAAATTAGACCTTCGATCAAGGTGTCGGTTTCGGGGTTAATAAGCCAGAGAGATGAAAATGCAAATGAGAAGATTATGCATATAAATCACTCGATGAAAGCTGTCTGCGTCTCCAGGGGCTGGTTGTTTATTGATAATGCCCGCATCAAAGTTTAACACCTAAAGAACAAAGGTATCCACTTGAACGGTGATGGCGTGAAAATTCTAGCCTCGAATTTTATGAGGCAGACATTGAAAGCAAAGATCAAAGCAGCAAAACACAAGCGAAAGCGGGACCCTCTTTGGTTGCTAGCACAAACTCTGAACAAGATAATTCGGACATCGTTGACAAGTTAGATTTAGAGGGTCATTTCACATACGGCTCGTCTCCGTTAAATGCTGATCTGTTAAGTGAATTATCCAAAAATAGGGGTTTTAAGTTAGCTGCCCTTAACATTACTAGTATTCCCGGCCATATTGAGGAATTGCGGATTTATAGCGGAGCTTCTCGCGCGCGCGAAGCACGCGCAGAGCGGAGCACCATGGGTAAGAAAATTTGGTAAACTATCCATCTGAGAAAATTTGGTTATGACGTAGCGTACGCCCGCCAGCTCACCCGTACACACGCTTCATGTAAGCCGATGTCAAATGTCACAAAGGATCTTGCACAACTTGACTAGCCTCTTAGTTATGTAAGCCATCCGTATGAGTACGATTAGATTGACAGCTGTCAAAGTTAGGCATCCGCTGACAATTATCACATGACTATCTCGCGGGCTCAGATGAAAGACCAGTCGTTTTGCCCCTACATATAAGCGGATATAATATGTCACACTTAACAATTCAACATAAAAACAAAACAACACCGGGCAAGGCTGTCAGTTGGCTGACAGTCGTTTAAGGTGATTCCCTGGTTTTGTATTGCACATTTCTTACTGCGCATAACAAGATGGACTCCGTAAAAAAGAGCATGTGAAGTAACATTATTAAAATGAAGTTGACCGAAGAGAAACGCTATTGCAATTTTTGCTTGCGGTTGTTTCTTGCCGAGGTGAGACTCAACGTGGTGGGAATGTGCATTACGAAAGCAGTACTCGCGTTGCTGAGTTCGACTTCCTCACGGAGAACCTCGATAGTGGATGTTTAATTAATTTGTGCTTATTCACTTTGATTTTCATTTCAACGCTTTCTTTATCACATTGTGTCTTAAATGTGATATCTCGATGTAAATTCTGTAAAAACGGATTTTCTAATACTTTCTTCCCCCTTTCACATTCCTTTCACATTCATTCTATTTTGAAACTCGCCCCAGTCCTTTCTCAAAAATCAAGGAAAATGCATTTGGTGCGCACTTTCTGCAGCTCTACCGCAAAAACGAGTACGGTGACCCCCATTTTTTATTTCATGATTTTAACAAGGACTGCTTCCTTTCGACAGGAAAAAATGTGGCACAAATCTATGTTCAGTTTTTTGGCAATTTTACTAAATTGTACGGATTGAGCTATCACGTGTCGAATAGCGCGTGTCCAATTTAATTCTACTTTGGAGCGTAAAGTAAAAACAAGGGCATTAAAAGGCATTTTATGGTACGTAAGTGGATAAACAATACATTAAAGTCAAATTCCGTGCGATACCACATGCATCATTGAAAAAATCTTTCCTTTTTGTCTAGTTTTGGACTGCGCGCGGTTTTTGTCAAAGGGTCCAAAATAGCCGTATTTGTCAGCATTATGACGTCAAAATTTATGCAGCGTCTGGAAACTTGCTTGTTGATAGCTGGGGCTTACAGAGTTTTGTGTCATCTTGTGATGTTTTAAACTGGCTTTTTCTACTTCGTGTACAAAATGAAATACAGCTGCTATCAAGATTGTTCTGTAATTCATGGCTGGTTTGTTTATTGCGCTTTTTGTTGACAAATGCACCGCTTTTCAAAGTCATTGGAAATCCGATTTCGGATGGCATCGTTTTCAAAAATGAGCTTACGCACTTGCCCTTGCTCGAGGCGTGAGAGGGTTGAAAATTCTGGAACACTTGATGACCTTGAGAAGCAGTATCTCGACTGGTAAGCCTGAGAAATTGTTGTCTTTGATGTGTTTTTTTTTTTTTTCGGTTTCCTGAAGTCGAGCGTATGGTTTATGCGGCTTAAGTTTATACACGAGCAATGATCTAACCGACAATAGTATCAGGTTTAAGGTGGGTCGATACAGTTTTTCAGGGTCAATACCTCCCGAGTTTGAGGATAAACTACGTCGCCATAAACAAAGTTTTGGAAAAATTGCCACCACGGTTGTATTAAATGGAGATGAAAATTTGTTTTTATCAGGGTTGCAACGGCATCGGAGTTGTCATAGCAACGAAATGACGCTATTACCTATTTTACTTGCAGCGGTATATCTCGGCACTGGGAACTGTTCTTCGAAATCATTAACGGGAGCTTTTTCCTCCAATAGCAGCCTCGATGTTCGTGAAGTTTAAGCGAAATCTGTAAGAGCGTTATCGAAATATTTTGGGATAAAGATTTTGTGGTTAGAAATACGGTAAAAAATGAACAATCCTGGTGTTCGGCTGTTATCTGTAGAAAACGAAGAGCTTTTGACATGCAATTTCACCTCATAGTAGTTTCAATCTTTTTAAAAACGTGTGTGAAAGATCACGGGGATAGCTCCAGCCGATTGCTAGAAAGAAGGGTTTGATTAATATTTATCGAGGCGCTCTTGTTAGCGGTTTTTTGAACATTTTGGTCTACTTTAACAAATTAGTGAATAATTTTTAAACCGCTCAATAGATTTTTTAAAAATTTAAGATTCTTGAGATTAACCTTCCTTTTATATAACCGTTTTAGTTTCAAGATTGCAGTAAAATAAGGGCTACAATTCGCTAATATTTTGGCAGAAAGTTTGTGTTTACAAGTGTGAGCCTCTCATTATTCAGGGTATTGTGTCCAAGTTTCATATTTTCGTGCACAGCAATAGCTAGCATTTTTGCATATTTCAAATGCATTGTTTGTTACTGCTGTTCACGTGAAAATGAAACTTGGAGACAATGCCTGGAATAATTAGAGGCTTTCACTTGTAATGGCGAAACTTCTGATAAAAAAGTAACGAATTGTAGCCCTTATTTTACTGCCTTACAATATATCAATAATCTTGAAATTAAAAGGTCATATAAAAGGAAGGTTAATCTCAAGAATCTTAAATTTTTAAAACAATCTATCGAGCGGTTTAAAAATTATTCGCTAATTTGTTAAAGTAGACCAAAATGTTTACAAAACCGCTAACAAGAGCGCTTCGATACATAGTAATCAAACCCTTCTTTGTAGCAATCGGCTGGAGCTATCTCCCATGATCTTTCACACACGCTTTTAAAAAGATTGAAACTATGAGGTGAAATTTCATGTCGAAAGCGCTTCATTTTCTACAGCCAAACAACAATATTGTCAATTTTTTACTGTCTTTCTAACAATAAAAACTTTATCCCAAAATATCTCGATAACGCTCTTACAGATTTCGCTTAAACTTCACGAACGTCGAGGCTGCTATTGGAGGAAAAAGCTCCCGTAAATGATTTTCGAAGAACAGTTCCCAGTGCCGAGATATACTGCTGCAAGTAGAATAGGTAATAGCGTCATTTCGTTGCTATGACAACTCCGATGCCGTTTCAACCCCGATCAGAACAAATTTTCATCTTTATCTAATACAAATGTGGTGGCAATTTTTTCCAAAACTTTGTTTTTGGCGACGTAGTTTATGCTCAAACTTGGCAGGTATTGACCCTGAAGAATTTTATCGAGCCACCTTAAAGAGCCTTTGACATTTTTTGACCGCAAATTCAAAGAAAATGTTCCGAAGATTATTTACTTATGATTTTGGCTGTAAACAGAAAGCTCTGAGCGATTTTCTGGCGTCGAGTTCATCTTGAAAAAGAGCAAACACCGGGAAGCCGGCTTAAAACATAAATAAGCTTATTATGCTTACCTGACTCATGATTTTCAAAGACACTTTACTCTCAATACTTCTCTTCGTGAATGAAAATTATTGTCTTTGTACATGTTTCACCGAATTATATTTATTTTATTGACTGTTAGTAGTCCCTCTCGCAATTTTTATCGCTGCACCGGTTGTATCCAGTCGAACATAAACATCTCATGCAGGAATACTCAAAACGCCGCGCGTAAATATCACTAGCTTACACATAACAAAACCGTACACAGTTTAATAAATAAAGGGAAATAAAACCTAAACATAACAATTTATCTATCATGATGAAGCGTAAATGGTAACTCTATTAATCGCACTGCAAATTTGGTGCCTGTCAAAAGTGAGCCCCGTCCGGCTGGCCGAAAAGTGATTTTGGAAATTTTTTTATCGTTTTCATTAAAAGCCCATATTACCCTGCATATCACATAGGACCAGATTTTTCTAACTGAAAGTCCTGCAGAATTATAGGTTTAAATAGGGCAAAAAAGAACAAATTCTGTCCGAGGTCTGTATGATAAAAACAAGGGCCTCATAGTACTGTTTACCTGAGACGTGATGAGAAAAAGTATGTTTAAAAGGCTGGTTTACACGCCACCAGATTCGTCGCCAAGATTTACTGGTAAACTAAACTTGTCGAACACAAAAAATCCGGCCTGATTTTCTTTTGGCCTCTCTTTTAGACAGAGGAATGCAACGTGTAAATTGGCTGCCACCAAGGACTATCGTGGCGCGTGTGTTTCTTAAAATTATATTTCGGGGTTGTCCAGTTATCCAAAGTCTCTCAAACGGAGAAACGTTGGAGAGATCGAGTGGTGAATGCCACATTATGATGCAATAGCTAATGCAAATACAATACACGAATAGGTAGG